CCAGCCGCAGTGGAAGACTCCAGCCCGCTGGCCCCGACGACACGTTCTCGTGGAACAAAGCCCATCTCTCCTAACGCAGCTTTTTCCCAGGCATTGGCCCATACGGAATAAAATAAATAAATCGCGAGCGTTTTGTGAAGGGGGAAAAAAAAAGTTCCTGCTGTACATAACTCGAGGGAGCAGATGTTTTTCCATTAGCTCACTGCTCTCTGCTACGCTGGCTCCCTTTACGGCTCTTGTTGGCGGCATGTTCATTAGCGTCTTTTTTGCCTAGGGTAAATTTTAGCACGTTACCAAGACTGCAGGTAGCCCACTCCAGCCCACTGCGAGTTATCTTAGTAATTTTTCTTTAAATGCTCCTTTAATTTAGCTTTAGGTCTACCTGGTGAGGTCCTCAGACTGTGCTTAGCAGGCAGTTAGCCAATCTGAGATCAAATTACCAGACCTCCTTTTCTGTGAGTGGCCTTATTTGGTAAAGTATTGGGTTAGTCAAGAAGCTAAATTGTCAGATATAAAGTATTAGTAAAGACAAACAAAGTGGACATTGTAGTTAAAAGTACAGCTTAAAATAATATAGCAACAGGAGCTAGAATATTAGAACTCTCATTAAAACTGGCTTGCAGCATTCTAAAATGCTACATGTTAATAAAGTATACAGTTATTAGTGCCTGGAAATATAATCACACATACTTCAGATAAGAAATTGCTCCAGTTACCCTAAGAGCTTAAAACTATTAAAACTATTTCTTTTCAGTTCTGACAGACTTTGCTCTCTGTGTCAGAAGTGATCCTATAAAAACTAGTCCAATGAGGGTAAATTTTGATCATAAATTTGAACCATCTTAAGTACATTTCATTAGCCAAACAGCACGACTCTATTTTCTAAACAGATTGAGGGAGTACTGGCACGATTTTAAAAAGGAAATAAGGGGTAGAAATAGTTCCTAGGTCAGACATTTCTGTTGGTAACATAAGCAGTATTATCACCAGTAATATCTATGATTCCCCTTGCAGCTCTTCCTGCAGAAAGAGGTGGAAGGAGTGAACAAGCTTTACCAATGCCACCGAAGTTCCTTCTCTCCTCTCAAAGTTGATTTAAGCTCTCAGTCATGAAAAGGAGAACAAAGAGAAGAAATGAGCATATGGACCACCTCTTCTGGAGTTGCACCACCACAGCATGTGCACTGCAGCAACCTTTCTGAGTACTCCCCAAAATGAGCTGTTTCTCAAGACTTAGGGCCAAGAATAACGTTTGGACTTACTAATGTTAAAGCCTAGTGAGTTCATTTTCTCCTTTTAAGAAGCCATTAAATTTCAAAAAGGCTGGGGATGTTGTTGTTAAAAGGGACCAGACAAGCTGTGTTAACAGCCTTTGCTGCAGAACACTTGAAAACAGACTATGCTTATTAGTATTCCAAGCATGCCTGCTGCAGGGACTGAACAACCTCAGTAGTCTTTGGGGACAGCAGACCTCATACTCTTCCAAAGCTAACTGTGACTAACTGCAGGGAGAACAGGAAGATATGGAAGCTCACTGAAGTAATGTGCTAAGTTCTCTGCTGCAGATGACTCCCAGCTCGTCCTACAAGAGATGGTTGGATGTAAGATTAACAGTGAGAATTCACAGTTTTATTTGGACGTGTGAAAGTGAAGAAGAGGATTCTTTCCAGAGTCCACAGATCCATCAAGTAGCTCTTTGGTTGATTACAGGAAGCTACAAAAATTAGCTTGCTGAAGTTCACTAGGCATTGCTGCAGGGAAAGACAAGGTGCAGCATCCATTACAGTGCAGCACATTTGGACTTAGCAGCTGCACTTCCAAAGCTCCTGCTTTATTATCTTTCCTACATAACTGTCCTGATCATAAACCCAGAAAAGTTGCAGATGAAAACACTAAGTCTATGATCACTTATGTGCAAGATAAGTATCTTTATCCCATCACAGAAGAGATTAACTCTTTGCACAGGGTTCACATCCTCGCCTTCAGCCACTGTTAAAGGAATGAACATACTCTCATGCCCTAATTTTAAGACCCTTTCAGAGCCCAACAAGGGTTCTCCAGTTCTGAGAGAGTGAGGATGCTTCTGCACAAAGCAGGAACTCCCACTGCAGCTGCAGGTGGAACATGACACAGTAAGAATTCTCCATCTATCTGATGTCCACTAACCACTAACCTTTGCTGCCTTTGTGAGGCTGTTCTTACAGCCCTCCAGGAGGCAGGCCAGGCCACAAAGCTGTGGGATAGCTGGTTTTGTATCTGTTTTTTTTCCCGTTTGAAGTGTAGAAAGCTCTAACCGGATCAGGTTGTTACCACTGTTTTTCATGCCCTGGGATATGAAGAAGCACAAGAACTGCAATGGCTCTAGTGGAACCTAGACACAACTGCAGCCTGGTGCTCTCAATCCATACCCCACACAGAGACATGGCCAGCTGTGTCCTGTTAGTGTCAGAAAAGGTCGGCTGCTTTGTTGTAAATTTATTGTAGTATGAGGTTAGGAAATCATAATAATAATTTTATCTCAGGATTTATGATTCATGGTAATAAGGTTAAAGTGTTAATGACAACAAAAACAACAATACACCAGTCATTTCCCAAAGGCAGATTAACATTTTTTTCCCTCTAGAGATAGGACACTGAGGTATGAAAGAGTTAGGCAACTTGCCTAGAGTCACAAGATGAGTCATTGACTGAAAAAGGACAAGTCCAAGCTAAACTTGATAAAAATCTCCAGCATACCGGTGCAGCTCTTTTGTGAATATGAAGGGAGCTTGGATGCAAACATCAGAAAGTTACTCTAATCACCTGTTTCTTTCCCCAGCTGCTGATTTTGGGGTGAGCTATAACACAAAAGCAGGTGACTACCTCAACTGTTGTTAACCACGTGTTTCTGTTTAACTTCTTGTTGATGAGATATCTCTGTTTTGGAAGTTACTAACATCCTATGAGTATACCTGTTCCTGCTTTCCCCTCCTTCCCAATGAGAAAGACTCTTGTGGAGAGGGTCAGTGATACCCTTTTGGATTACCTCACTCAATAAGCCCAGTGTAAGATCCAACCCACTTCAAAGAAGTCCTCTAGTTATTCAGGCGCTGTGCCCTTCTCGGCATAGCATGAAGACTACCCAAAATACCTGCATCTCTCCTCATCCCTCAGGGTACCAGAATGCAGAGACTTCCACACTACTTCCAAAAGAGAATGGGCAGTAGCTCACAAAGAGCTCATTAAGCTGCATCCATAACAATAACTGACTTCAGTAATGAAATTACAAAGCAGTCACAGTACGAATCTTCAGGATATCAATCCTGATTCAAGTCCAGTTAAAAGTAAACATGAAACAAAGCAAAGATTTAAAAAAAGGCAGAACAGGACAGAAAAATTACAGCTTATAAAAATAAATTCTATCTAAAAGAATTAATTAACACCTTTGAGAAAGGCACTCTGTTTAAGTGTAAAAAAGTAATCACAGCAATTCACAGCTAGGTCACAGCAAGCACTAGGTCTTTATTGCTTTCTTCTTTTCACACAGCCGCAAAAATGTCAACTGCCTAGAGCTATCTGCAGGATGATGGACAACAGACACCTAACTTCTCATCACAATAAACTCTGGGTTTTTGGCTCCCCACCAGCCTCCTCTGCAGCCTTAAATCAGGAGCATAAACTCAATAAAGCAAAATCTTGCTAGTGACTTCGAAGCCCACAGCACATCATTGAAATTTACATACACACAAGCCATTAAATGAACATGTGATTAACTTAAAGGATGATACATTCCATAAGTAACTTCTTTTGTTCTTTAATAGTTAGTCAAATTGTAACAATAAGAATGTCACATACTTTGTACCAGAACTGAAATCTAATTGGTAGGAAATGGCTCACAAAAACAGTTATAAAAATCTTTGCTGAGAAGTAGGGTGAGAGTGCCAGTTTTTATGTGAGAATTATCAATTGCACAGGTTAGCTAAATGAGAATTTGAAAAGTTCTGCTGCATAAGAAATAGCAAATTATCAGCAAGGTTCCAGTGAGCTCTGCTTTTTCTTTTCATTTTTTTTTATTGCAAATGTTAGCAGAGAGAGATAAGAAACAGTTTCAGCACTCAAATGTAATTTCAGACACACAACTGTGGGCCCAGTTGTAGAAAAGCAATGTCTCTTAAAGAGCAAAACTGCAGGGTCAGAACTCTTTCTACCAGTCCTAGAATGTTTGAATACAAATGGTAGAATGTGCAAAGCAACTCTGTTCCTCACTAAGTGTCCTACATAAAACCCTTTCATGAATTTGGAGATCGCCTCTGGGTAGAGCTCTTTCTCACTGTTCTCTTTTCCCTTTATGTGCTCTGCTGTAGCTTCTCTGCATGAGTCTCTCAAACTGAACACGCAACCTAGAAGTCCTTGGGAGATTCAAACAGTCAAGGATAAAATGAGTGGAGGACTTGGGGTTTTTTGATAATTTTCACTTAAACATCTGGAAGGACTGCAAAGTTCCCAGTCTACACAATGTTTAATGCATGGTTTTCCCAATTTTCCAAAGTAGTATGCAGGAAAAGGAGAATGGAAGTAACTGTCTGTATGAGCTACTGTTCCTTAATAAAGAACTACCTACCCTTTTCTTTTAAAAGCATGTTTTGGTGCGACTGAAGTTTTCTGTGTGCTATGGAAAAATAAAGGTGAGATGAAAAATTGCACTATTCCAGGTTGGGTTGTTTGGTGTTGATTTTTTTTTTTTTGTTATTATATTGAATAAAATAAGTGGTATTTCAAAAACTGGCTGGGCTAGACAGGGAGACTTTCTGCTAGAATAAGGGGGGTTTCAACTACTGATTTCAACTAATATGTTCATACTTATGTTGTCTCATTCGCCACTGGAAGGAAAAAAGTGGAGGTGGTCCAGGACTTACCAGCCTGCAGCCAAATTTGTTCAAGAGCTGTCCACAGCTGCATAGGTCCTTGCTTCATTGTGCTGCTATGCATAGTTATTTCAGACATGGCCTGTTCCAGTCTTGATGCAGCAAGGGAAGATGCTCGCTGTGATCCTATGGACCAAACAAACAAGAACAAAAATGCATTTTGTACTTCTTTGGAGTATTTCTTTGACTCATCAAGGCAGCAGCTCTGATTCTTCACTCAGTGCATCAGTTTTATGTAATAAAGAGTCCACTGAATTCTGGCGTGACCAACTGGATAAACATGTTTTATAAAAGGTTAATTTACGGAAAAAAACCCCACTAAATTACCCAAGGGCTGCAGCTCAAACAAGTGAATTAAGAGACAGACAGTAATTTTATAAAGGTCTGCTTAGCATTCATCAAGGAAGCAACTGTATTTTGCTCATTTAAAAAGCCGAACTCTACCATCAAGTATTTCCTGCAAATACTTATGAGTAAACCATTTTATAAGCACACTGTCCCCATACAATGGCAAAATATGGCCTGCTAATGTAAGATCTTACATTACAGCATTACAGAGTAGCTTGGCACCATTCACACAGCACACACATTTCAAATTACATCAATACTGTTCTATTGGTTTAGAGGCGGCGTGGTTTTTCATTTAACCTTTGGGAGTGGAGAGCTCAGTGCTTTGACTACATTAACCTTTAGTATGTGCAGTAACATTTATGCTGGAATAAAGTATTTGGTGCCCACATCTCTGGGACAAAACATCACATCAAAAGCTACTCCCAGGAAGAACGCATGGGCAGAGACCATGTTCTCTAGTTCAGCAACTGGGATTATATATAAGCTGACCTCTCAGAGGGGTACCAAAAAGAAGGTAATGAAATAAGAAACTACAAAATGAGATTTCAGAGTTGGCTTTGTAAAGCTTTAGGAAATAAATATTTTAATATACATAGGTTTAATGTGACTTTAAAGTTGATAAGATCTCTCTGGAGAGCTGCCGTGACTGAAGCACTGATTAGTATTACTCTTCAATCTATCCTTACAGGCTGACCTTGCAGACCACAAAATCCCGGAATTAAAATCCTGCTTTCTCTCCCTGTAGCCACCCTGAGGGAGCAACAGAGTAGGGGCTCAGAGAAGCTGGGATGGCTCTGGGCAAGGGAAGAGACAGAAGGGCAAAAAACCCCTCTGTGCGGGGCTCACGCGCTAAGCGGTCTCTCTGTGGAGGGCCAGCAGGCTCTTCCAGCTGAAGCGTGAAGAGGGGTTGCCAAACCACACCACACCTCCTCACCAGCAGACCACCCCCCAGGGCCAGGGCAGAGCCGAGGGGTCAGCTGGCCCGTGGTCCTCTGAAGGCTGAGCAGGGCCCCGAGCCTCCTGCCAGGCTGAGCCGCCAGGCTGAGGGGAGGCCCATTTCCACCCCGCGCTCTTTCACAAGGGCGGGATGTGCCCGCAGCTCCTCCCTGCCCCTCGCCGCACCGCGGCTGGGAGAGGCCACGAGGGCACTCGAAGCCCGAAACTCCTATAGGAAATATCTGTCCCATTATCTCACCGCTAACTCATGTCATTCCTTTTCAGCAGGGGAACTTCAGAGCAGCCCTGCAGCGGGGGCGCCTCCCACAGCTCCCGCTGAAAATGCAAATGGATTCTTCCTGGATGCGGTTCTGAAATTCCTACATATTTTCAAAGACATTCCTGATCTAACGTTCCAAGAGATGACAGTGCAGTAATGTAGCAATTACAGCTTTAATGGTAAGGTAAAAGCCACTCTGCTTTGCACTGAGAATTTATTATACTGAACAGTTTATTTAACAGACCCATCTTCAGCCTGTTTCCCCACACAGGATTCCTCCCCTTGCCCTGCCCACTCACATTCTTCGCCCCCAGCCCTACCTCCACCTAGGTGAAATTTCACCAAAACTCCCAGGAATTCAAGCCAGACAAGGCTTGTTTAACACTGGGAAAACTAGCAGGCACTCACTCCGAGCCATCCAAAACATGGACAGCTTCTTTGCAGCCCAGAGGCAACAAGCAAATGGCCAAATGAAGACCTAGTGATGTTATTAGGAGTACTCTGACATCAGGGCAGACTTCTTACCTTCTAGACTGGCAAAAATTACATGGGCTTTGGGGATTTTGCAGTCAGCCTAACCAGATTCTTACACGAGCACTCCTGATCATGTCAGTATGCTCTGAAAACAACTTTCAGCATTGGATTTTTCTGTCAAGACTGCCCTCTTTCAGAGAGGCTCTCTGAAGGAACATTTCTTGCAAGCACCCCTGTGTAATGCTGGTCTGATTGCATCAGGTTGGCAGATGGGCTGGTGTTTCAGTCACACCCTCACTGAGCTCATGGGAACCCTCTTGCTTTTGCAAGTCAGTCCAAGGAGACTATGTCCCTGTAAGGCAACTTTGTGCATTTTGGAGAGGTTCACGTGCTGCTGTGGAGGCTGAACAGAGATGTAGGAATACTAAAGCATCCTTCCCTCACAAAGCAGGCTCTACAGGAATATCACTATGAGTTAGTTGCACTCAAAGGAACTCAGCTTAGCCACTCCTCCTCTTCAATAGCCAGGTAGTTGGCAAGAGGGAAAGGCCTGCAATTTGAGACTGATTCTGCCCAGTGCTGTGGTCTTCAAACTGCACAGCCAAAAAAAGGGAACCCAATTTACTTAGCAGTTTACAGCAGAGGCTCTTTGCATTTAACAGCCTTTGGCCTTTGATGCTTCTTTTCTGTTCCATTTCAGCCTACACAAGGAAGCAAAACACACTAGGCAGAGACCATCCAATCCCTTCCCATCCCTACTTGGCCTCAGACACAGTATATGCTGCTTGTTCTAGATGCAGGCACAGCAGATGAAAAGGCTCTCTCAACCCCAGCCCATACCTGAACATTTGCTACTGCTGCTTTACCCATCTCTGCTGGACCACTCACAGAAACGCTTCTTAAATCTCGTCTGCCCAAATAAACACTGTAAGAGAAAAGTCTTTGCCATTCTGTCCCTTCTGGACTGAAAGGGGCTCAGCCACAGCTCTGAAACTCAGGCAAGCAATACAGTGAACCTTGGTGTGGGCTGAAGGCTACTGCAGCCAGAGAAGAGTATACCTCTAACACACACTGTCTCCCACGAGAAGAGGCAGGTATGTATCTCATCCACATCTCTCTGACATCACGGTGGCAGGGGGAGCTAGACAGACTTCAAACAACATTAGAAAAAAAAAGCCCCTGATTGTCTCATTATAAAATATCTCTTCCTAAATAGAGATCTTTATATACTAAAAAAAAACTCAAAACCTGTCTCACAGAACGTTAATGTCATGCCTCAAAATACATGTAAATGCTAGTATAAGAAGATATCACATCAATTTCTTATTTCAGTGCAGTCTTCTCTTTTTAACAGCTCCACTAGACAGAATATAAACTTCCCATTTTACAATATAGCCCTCCACACATTTTGGAAAGAAATCATAAAAATAATAACATTGATTTTGTCATGATGAGCTCTGAGTATAAGTCATAAAAAAATATATCTAAATAATTTTAAAGCAACGTTCTAGAGTTTTTATAAGACCAAGAAGGACCAAGTTTAATATTTTGCATCTCTGAAAAAAAGCTATCAAAATAGAAATGTACCTAGGTAGATTTACTAGGCTTATAAGAAACACAGAATTCCCTAGCCTAAATCACTTCAGGCAAGAGCATTATAAGATAAGACTAAATCAGAAAAAGAATGAAACAGCAAGGCAGCTGACTGATATCAGCGAATTTAGTTAGGAACCCTGCTTTAGATAGGAGAAGATGAAGAAAATAAAGAAGAATTAATCTTCCTGGCAGCAAACCTCAAATTCTGGCACAGCAAATAATCTCATTGTGGTCTAACTGAGGGAGAGGCCAGTGTCAAACCCGGCCACAGTAATCCCCCCCTCAGCAGCGAGCCCAGAGATCACAGAGTGCCTGTGCCTAACTCTGGTACTGCTGCATGCTCCTGGGGGATTTCCTGATGGAAACCAGAGCCTGTTCCAGAACGATGAAAAAAAAATCAGACCTCCTTCCTCCTTCAAAGCAGCCAAGCACAGCCGCAGCTCTGGGGAGACACGAGGGTGAGAGGGGCTAGAGCTGTACTCTCCATTCTCACCTCCTACTGTCTTCAAAGAGGCTCCCAACTGGGACTGCAGACCCAGCTGCCTCCATTCTGCAGATGGAGAGGAGCAGCACCTCGAGCCTGCAGAGCAGTGAGCCACAGACCCTTCCTGAAGGCAGCCAGTGCCAGTCCTGCACTAAGGTGGATGGTGTCATCTTAGTATGAGCCCCACCATTATGTCCACTGGGGGTGCAGATGCATGGACACCCAGACTCTCCAAGTGGAGGATGAACACACTTCTTGGAGAAACCCAAACTGTGCTCGGTGCAAATCACTTTATAGGCATGAAAAGCTGGTTTAAAGCCTGTACTCTACATTAATTTGTTCCTTCTGGCAGGCAGTGCCATGGCATACAGCACTTTCTGCTGAACTACAGCTGCAGCTGGGCTAAGAGCAGGCTGAAACAGGTACCCAACCCAGGTGCTTTTTGAGAAGGACACTATGGAGAGACTAAACGTGCCTGAGCTTTGCTGTGACTATACAGGAGGTGCTGAAAGTCTGCAGTTGAGAAGTGAGGTCTTAGAAGGGTGGCACACCGGCACATCAAAATACTCTGATGGTGACAATTTGGTCACAAAATCCCAAAGTGAAGTGCTGTGAAGTGGGTGTAGTCCAAAGCTGGCCATGCTCCTTTCCTCAGAAAATTACAAAGCAAGGCAAGGGATCTCCAGAAGAGTATGAGAACCACAACCAGGATGCCTTTTACGTACCATTAAGCACTAGCTAGAGCTGAAGGAACAGGGACCAGTCCAGGCTCTGCGCCACAGTCTAGGCACCATAATCCACCCTGTTTCAGCAGCAGACTGGGAACTGGATGGATAACAGAAGTACTGTGGCAAATAATATTTTTTGTTTGTATTGCTTTCCTAGTAATGCCTAGTGGCTGATGGATTCTGCAAGTACTTAGTGTGTTCCAAATAATTTTTGTATATTCACTGAAACTCCATTTGAGTTCCCAACATCAGGGATGACAGGATATATTTCACAATTCTTCACAATTACCTTCAAAATGACTATCTTAAATGATTTTCTATCACCAGGAAACTTTCATGTCATATCCACTCCCTTTTACAGACAATTTTTAATATCTGTGCAACAGCATATATTCATTTAGTATATCCTCTTTATTTGTTTGTGCTGAAATTAGTCTGCTCTCTTTAATTAAGCTGAAGACTACAGAACACTGCCATAAAAACAAGAAAAAGGACCTACACAAAACAGAGACTCATCTCAGCAAAGGCTGATAAAAGGGAAATGGAATAAACAGATTAAAAATTATATAAATGTGTGTACAGAATCAGTAAGATTATAATGTTATAAATATAGACCCTAAGGGTTTAACACTACAGACAAAAGAGCAGACACTCTGAATAATGTTTTGATGTCTGAATGATCATATGCTCAAGACCTAACCTTGCAATGCTTTTTAACTATTAGCATGTTTAAATGGGGGTTAAATACAACTTAATAAGTACAATTTATGTGCTTAACATGAGAACTTGTCCTCTGACTCAGCCTTACATGCTGAGCATGTGACTTCAGTTTTACCAATTCTAAATGTTCAAGATTAAGACAAACCCTAATTCCCTAGGCCCATGGCATGCAACTTGTGTTAGTTTTTCTAAAAATTAAGCTTTTATATTCCTCTTATCCCATTTCTAAGTCTGTGAGGTTCTTTTTTTTTGCAAGTGTTTCTTCTACATCCACAAGGGTAGAAAATTAAAAAAACTTCCAAGTTAAAATACAAATTTCTCACATAATCATCTGATTTTGAGTTAGGGTTTTAAAGTAAGCATCAAATATCACGAGACTTATGATAAAATCACAAGGCAGCAACACTCTCTGAAAGCTTCCTTTCCCCTTCCTGCCAAGCTTTGATGTCTCAGTTATTTCCATCTGACTGTATCTGTTACTGTGAATGTGTATTTACCATGTAATAAAGCATCACAAGGTTTATGTACAAATCCCAAGGCAAATCACCCTCTAACAGGAACTGACACTCTCACTCAGCTTTCCAAAACCACAGTAATAGCTGGCTTGATCAGGACATCTAAAACTGATCAAATTCTGGGGAGGTGGGGCAAGGTGGAAAGAAGGAAGAGGAAGAAAAAGGACTGAATGATACAGTTCTTGCAGAAATATGGTATTAGGTGGGCATTCATCTTTCATGCTCACCTTGGAGAGCTTTGTAAAAGAAAGCAGGAACTCATCTCTCTGATTTATGCCTGTGGAAGCCAAGGTACAAACAAACCAGTGACATGTTCTGCAGCAGAGATGGCCCTAGAGACAGATCTGGATCTCCTGATCACCAGCCCAGCAACACGTGTGCACACACCCCCACCACCTGCTGCTGCCTCCACTCCCCAGCCCTCAGCAAAGAAAATAAAACATTCCTTTCTCACAAAAGCATGCATTTAGGATGGAAAGGCACAAATCTTGTTTCCTCACCGTGATCAGTATCATGAGCATCTGGGAGCGTGAGATGCAGTCCATTATGCTTTTTGACCACTGGTGTTTCAGCCACACTACTTCCTTTCTCAGAACCACTGTAAAGAAACAAAACCATGTTACCTGGCCACCTTTCAGTACAGAGACAACATTCCCCTTAAAGCAGGCAATAGTCTCATCTAGCTGCCACTGGAACTGAAAACTCAACCTTTCCAGTTGCAGGCAATCAGCCTCCTGAATGTGTTGTTCTAACATCTCCACCCTGCCGATGGACAGGAAGTGCCCAGCAAGGGCACCAGGGCACATGCCAGTATCTGTCTGCTAGCTGTTGGGAGTATTTGCAAACCACTGGATGTTGGCAGCTAGAAGCCAGACCAGAGGAGGCCAAACAGCGAAGCAGTCCCAGAAGGAACCTCCATCCCTTGGAGGCAGAACTATTTGTTCACAGGTCTGCTGTGCAGATCCTTTTGAAAGAGACCAATTAACACTTTCCACCCAAGTGCTAATTTCTTCATTTCAAAAGGAGTATTTTCTCTTCTTCTACCCTTGTTCTCTTCAAACAGAAAAGGAAGATAAAAGCTACCACATAGCACTGCTTTATAAAAGGAGGACTATCTGGTCTGGTCTTCTACTAGAATCCTGTCCTCACAGGAGAGGTCTTCCACAGGGGAAAAAAAAAATTAAAAAAAAATCATGTGCCTAATGAAAAATCATTTAACAAAGATCTCCTGAGCCTTCCTGTCACCATGTAGTCTGCCATCCCCCCAGGATAAGATGGTGATGATATCTCCTCTCATCATCCATTAAGGGATAAAATAGCAAAAGGAAAAGTGACTGCCCTGGCTACTTTTTCTGGCACACTCCCAAGCCTGCAGCTCAGCCTTTGGACAATATTCCTCCCAGAAAAAAAGCTGTCACAGAATCATGATGGCTGTGGATGCCCCATCTTCCAGTCTGATCAGTCCTTGGGTAGGAATTGCACAATATTCCCTTGCATTTGTATTCATCTCGCAGAAGAATTAGCTTGGGACTGCTATTTAGTTTTAAACATGATTACTCTGTTATTGCAGAAAACACTAGCAAAAGATAAACCAAGTCTTGCCTTTCCCAGCTAACAATCTAGGATTGAAAGCTACTCACTATCATTCATCATAGTCGTAATCATGTTTACAATAGCTAATTAACCTTTCACTTGGGCTTTGGGATCAAATATTACTGTTTCTGTTAACGGACCCTGATTCTTGGACGTTTTTGACTGTTTGCATGTCTCTGTGGCCTTGTCTGGGCCTCCCTGTCTTCCATACTGGTTTCCCCACTGGTATCCCATTTGAGTCTATTGTGTGGTGACAGATCCAAGGGAAAATTAAATTCTCTGCCCTGTGGCTCTGCCTTGCCTAGTCAGGATTAACCCAAATGTTAAGTGCCCTGGCTGGTGGCTCCTGGTGGAACCACAGAGGCATTTCTGTCTTACTGGGGCATTATGTATGCAGAAACATGGCAGCTGCTCTTCAAAACACTGCTCCTGTAAGGTAAGTGCTACTTTGCTGCAGCAGCCATCACCACAGAGTCACTGTTCAGGCACATGACTGCACACTGGCTTACATACTATCTTCCTACACAAAGGACAGGTGAGGGGATCAGTGGATGGTCTACACCTGGCAACAATAAAAACTGCCCACAGGAGAGCAGCAGTCAGAGAAGGCTTGATGAGATGGCCTCAGTTAACAAAATGTCAACAGCGTGACCTTTTATTTGGGAAAACAGACTGAAATCCCAGCCTGAAAACCAAGTGGACTGTACTGTGCAAACCAGCCACTCCCAACGGCTTTATTCGTTATCCTGGAGAAGGGCTGAAAATGAACTACTCCTTCAAAGCTGCAGGGCAAGGCCTTCAGCCAAGAAAGCTTTTCCATGCACCACAGAAGAGACAGTAGCCAGATGATTAGCTTTCCACATACAACACTGGAAAGGCTGACAGTAGAACAAGTTGCCACTCCACTGCCCACGTTTTTAAAAGGTAGTTGAGACAGTGGATAAAATGGTGACAGAAACTGCTGAAGTAAACACCTGACTGTGAGAGACAGCAGAGGCACCAGTTTGTCAGAGAGAAAACAAAAGGGGACTTAAGCATGGCATATGAACAGCTGCTTGGGGAGAAAATACTGTGCCCTGGAAGACTCTTTAGACCAGCAGAGTCATAGTAAGATTACAAAGGCAGGAAATGTAGGCCAGGCAAATGCAACCAAATGTGACTAAAATACAATTTAATTGTGTAGGCGATTAGGTGCTGTTTGAACTAGTAAAGAACATTGGGTGCAACTGCTCTCAACTTTATGTAAATACAGGCTTCTCTTTTCCAGGAGGCTTTAAAACATGTTTGGGTCCAAGTCTCACTGATAAGAATTCCCCTTAAGTTCCTTTGCAAGCCCAACCCGGAATATTTTACATATTTCTTAGCTGATACTGCTGCAATTTCCTTAATACAAGGGGATTCCTGGCTCACTGAGTCTAGTCTAAAATTGCAGGTACCAACTTAATTCTTTTTACCTTTCAAGAAGTACCTCCCAATAGAAAATGCTTTATAATGTATTTTTTAAGAAAGCCAAAAAGTCCCCCTGGGATTAGCAGTGAAATACACATTAGAGTTCCCAAAAGCAATGCCATTTGTTTTGTTTAGGCTTCTATGGATAAAGCTTATCAAAAGCCTCTAAAGCTATCACATCTTGGATTTTTAAGTATAACAGCCAAAGCACAGCTTGGGATCCAAATGCAGTCCAAATGGCTGAACTATTTATTTGTCTGTTTTCCAATGTGCTCTCTTCAGTCTCAGGCTTGCAGGCTCCCTTTGCAAGAGTAAATCTTAGTGATAATTGTTTAGTGTGGATTTGATCAGCTTCATAAGGACTACTTATTTGTATAAAGATTATTCATATGAGAGCTACGTGACTGAATCCTTTAGCTAAAGAGACTAAGGCCTAAGGAAACCAATGATTCCAGCCTGTAAGAGACCGTTTCTCTGCTGCTATGTAACTATCTTGATTTTTGTGTTTGGTCTGTTGCTCATTGGCTAAACCAACAAGGAATTACTAATAGCCCCTCATGGACAACTTGCATATAGACACGTACCATTCTGTTACACACATTTCTGGTGCTTACAAAGCTTATGTAAATGCCTAGAGAAATTGGGGAACAATACATGCTTCATCAGTGTGCTGTTGTAACTGCCATCCAGCACGCTCTTCTTCCCAAACACAACCTCCACGGACGTTACAGATGAGAGGTAAGAACAGTCTTGGGATAAGATTCCCAAGACAGTTGTACAACAGTATCATGACTAGGACAATATCCAAAGGGTGTGGGAAGGAAGAAAACCCAATCTGGTGACTTTCACACTTTCTCAACTTTTTCTTTTAGAGGAAAGCAGGTAAGAGGGAGGGAAGAAGCAGGGAACCTAGCACTATCTGAATGGAGATTTACTAGGACAAGGGAGAAGAGAAAGAAGCTACAGCCTTTACTCCTTTCCTTGCCCAGTTAGCACCAGGCTATTCAACTGGGTATGCAACCAGAGCATATGACAGTCTTGGCTGTGTGCCCTTCCTTGGCTTACTCAGTTCAGGACTGTGTCACCCCCACACATTCGTCGGTGATGCCAGCTACTGAAGACTGTGAACAACAGCTGATGGATACTCAGCACTGTTGGGGGAAAAAAAACAAATCTGCCCTCCATTCTGGACATCTGAATATGGGTAGAGATGTTTAGACAGTCAGATCAGAAACTCTTGGTTCAAACTGCTTCTTCAATCCTAAAATCTTGAGGGTTTGTTTCATTGTTGATTTTTTTTCATGGCTATCAAAATTTTATATTTTTTTAAATCACAGCTAGAAATATTACCTATGTTTCTTTTTAAACAGTACTATTTATTATTCTTTTTGGAAAATAATCTAAGTATCTAGACAACTAAAGAAGACAACTGCATCTCCATTATGAAATATGAACTTGTTAGACAGTAGAGAAAGCCTACCTGTGCTGTAAAACATTATATACCATCTGCCACACCTGCAACATATGTCTGCATGTCACCAGAGCCTCTTCAGGTCCTTTATGTATCCATTCCAGTTTTACTTTGGTCAACAGTAAGCTGCAAGATGAAAAATAATAACTTCCGTTTTATTGGCATCTCATCAATGTGGAGAATCAGTACCACTCTAGCAAGATCTTGGCAGCCAGCAGTTTCACTTGCTTTGTATGTGCAGCAATAAAAGAAAACACCATAGCACAAAACATTTCATTTGGCTCAACTTTGATTCTCCCCACAAGGAGATGAGAGGATTAACAATATTCCTCAGCTGCAGTCAAACTGGCATCGCAAAGCTGGCAGGACAGTGTTAAAAGCAATGCACTGCAAAGCTAACAAGGTGAAACATACAGTGAATCTCATTTTCTTTTGGACCAGGACAATATCATTAAAAACAGAATAAAAAGGAATTGCCATAATGCATATGTCAGATTGTTTTCTTAGTCTGGCATCTTCTTATAGTGCTTGTTTATATAATAAATTTCAGACAAAAACCCCAACACACTTATATATGCAGACAATTATGTAATGCCTCACAGAAGGGAAACACTTTTTCTTAACCCCAGCTGGTGATCATTTCATGCCCCTGGGCCAGACAGCTGATAGCCCTTGTACAGTCTTGTTCCATGTCGTGTAACTACTGCTCCTATTCCTATACCTACAGAACACATTCTAGCACAGACCACTGCAGTTCAGCAGAATTAGGTCAAACAGAGGTTAGAAGACAGATTCAGCAATGACACAACCTACCACTTGCTGCTAGCATGCCTTTACCACCATCCTTCACAACATCCTTTTTTTTTTTAGTTGCCAAGATGATTGAATCTATTTCTGGCTTACCAACATAAGTTTACTTCTCTGCCTTAAATGTTTCATAAAGTCCAAGAGTTACACATTTTGAAGTAGCTCAATATGGCTAGTGAAATATATGTACATACATGCATACAACATTAATAGCTGAACATTAAAACCCTAAAAACAGTTTTGTGAATGTGACCTGCAGGCTCCTGGGGAATCCAACCAACCTCAGAAAGAGGCAACAGCAACCACACAGATGATATTAGCTTCAGAGTCTTCTCTAACAAGAGATCCTTCACTTGCAATTAGAAATCTTCAGTGCCTATCTACAGTAATGTGCTAAAATGGCATTCTTGTTCTGCACTAACAAACACCACAGAGTTTTTGGGAAGAAAAAGTCATCAAAATGTAATCCAGCTGTATCAGCTGCTATAAGGAAGTCTGTTCATGGCCGCTCTTACAGTTTGACCTCACAGGACAAGCATTCAACTAAATGTCACAGGTACAAACTTAGGCTAGGAAAGGAATATCAATATTCATAATCAAGTGAATTTGTCCTTTACTATTTTATATCCCTACTCTATATTTAACTTTGATTTTCGTGCTACTGATCTCAGTAAAACAAATACTAATAAAAACACCCCCTGCTCTTGACTTGCTAATTGAAAGGAAGTGCCTTATTATGCATGATTCAGGTAGTTATTTCTGGGCTAGATCTATGGATTGATCAAAAATTTTGCTGGGACAAAGAATGTAAAAGTGGACACACTCTTAATAAAAACAAGACCGAATTCCAAGAGAACTGGTTAGCAACAGAAGCTGGCCAGTCATGCATGCTGCTCTGTACCCCTTAGTGAACTGGGCTCATAAGAACAAAGCTTGCTTTAACAGAACCCAATGTAGAATCAATCACTTAGGAGGCAAGGAATATATATCACACTAGAAAGACGGGAGGCTATACCCTGGATAAAAAGAGGTTATAAAAGATAGCTTCATGAACATCAAGTTCCTAAATGACACTGCAGTTAAGAGGTCAGGCAACCCTTAGCATCCATATACAGAAGCACAATCAAGTACGAGCTGGAAGATGTAGTTATTCCTTTTCACAGCATCAGCAAGACACTTACTACAATCCTGTTTCTAGTTCTTGCTTTTTAACACCAAAAGAAGACTAAAAATGGGATGAGGTTCAGAAAAAGGTTATACAAGTAAGCTGAGGCCTAGAAAAGCATATTTCATCAGAGGCTTAGGAAGCTCAGTTTATTTGGTTTAACCAAGAAGCAGCAAAGAGATTATTTTGCCCCAGCCTGCAAGCACCTACATGGAGAAGTGTCTTATTATGAGACTCTGCTCTAAAAGAAAAGGTATAAGAAAATTCAAGGATTTGTTGGAAGTTGAAACTGGTCACACAGAGATTTATATGTAGATACAGACACGTAACTATCAAAGACAATAATCTTTGTAGCAAGTACCTTGAGTGCACATCTGCAGTCTTTAAAGCCTTTTTCAGCAAGACAGGATAACATCTGGAACACAATGCTAAGGCAGAAATAGAAGCTATCTTTGGGTTTGATGCAAAGGCTCATGACTGAGCTTCTTTGGACTGCGCTGCACCGAGAGGTGAGACTGCATCGTCACCTTCCTTTTGGCAAATACACTGTTAAAAACATCATACTAGTCCACGAAACAACCACACCTAACAACCTAAGCTATTTTAAGCACACACATATTATAATGTACATATTTTTTAAACCACCACAAGCTTTAAAATTAAAGGCCTTCTAAAGCATTTCTCCTTTCAGCAGAAGAGTGGTGTTCAAGGAGCCTGAGGCATCCCTGAGTAATTCACATGCTTTTGGACACTGTAGCCTTCTAAAGCATTTCTCCTTTCAGCAGAAGAGTGGTGCTCAAGGAGCCTGAGGCCTAGAGAACAGTCATATCACATCCCTGAGTAATTCACATGCTTTTGGACACTGTACAGTACCACTTAATGAGATAGAAGAATATAGAAAAGAACAATCTATTAACAGTCTAACTACTATACAGGAGAGTAATATTAAGGGTTCCTTCTCCCTTTCACATTAGTAGGGATTTAGATGACACTGTATGGTACCACTTAATATTAATGAAATAGAAGAATATAGAAAAGAACAATCTATTAACAGTCTAACTACTATACAGGAGAGTAATATTAAGGGTTCCTTCTCCCTTTCACATTAGTAGGGATTTAGATGGCTTAGTTACCAGCAGGCAATTAAAATCACAGCATAGTATATTTAAACATTGCAGTTAAACATTAAAAAAACACACATCAAGATCTCTATCACTCTGGTGTTTACTGCTTACAGTGAGTACATGTCAACTTCCTTGAAGATGAAATGCTCTATCTCAGAGAAAACATCTAGTGAAATGTTGGAAAAATGGAAATATCTCACAAAAATATAATGAAGTCTCAAGCACAGTATTATCGTTGGTGGTAAGGCACAGGCACAAAAAGGTTTTTAAAAAAACAAACAAAACAAAACAACTTTACCAACCTCTCTGCATTGCAACACTGGCAGATCTCAGAAATAACATGCATTGTTACCTAGTAAAGTAATTCACCTTTGATATAGTGATATTTGTGTTATCATGTACCCATATAATGAACCAAACCACAAGGCAAATGGGAAGAACGCAAGTGGCAAAAGGAATCCAACCCTACTGACAGCAGCAGTAAACAGTGCAATTAAGCATGATAATTGAAAGGTGGAAATACAATCAGGACATTAGGCTCTATGTGCTGTGTGCTGTTTGCATTTCTTAGGTTCTAACAGCAAAACCAGATAAATAAAAATATAAGGAAAAAAATGAAGTACAATCACTTATCTCAAGCTTATAATTTTGTTACTGAGATAGCACTCCTGCTGCAACTAAATTTAATGAGTATTGCATCACATCAGTGTCAGTGCACAACTCTTAGGGGCGTAAATAAAAATTATGCATGCACAGGTCTCACCTTACTGTATTTTCTTAATATCATTTTACTGTACTTTTGTATGATGCAGAGCAGACTTTTAAAGATTCAACATCTAAAAATAGCCTCGAGGTTATCACTATAGTCATTGGTAATTCTGTTAGCCTCTGAAAATGAAAACAGATTTAGGCTAAAGCAAACATATAAATTGCTACTATATAAGCAAAGGAAGAGAGAGAAAAAAATCCACAAATCATTCTTGTCATGCATATAATTTCTATAACAATGGAAAATTACCAATGTTTACTCTTGATACCAGGCCCTAAGCTCCCTCTCAGAAGATTTTTTTATTGTGTATGAGTACAGTATACAAGGGGTTCTGTTCCCTGATGTAAGGCCAGACTACTGACACAAGCAAGCATACCTATCCACAATAACATTAACTTGGGCAAATTAAAATCTGTATACACTTGATTTCTGAGAGAGGAAACTCTGAAAATTCAAAGTTCAGTTTCCCAGGTATCAAAATTGCAGTGGTGTAAATGACATAAATATCACTATAATATGCCACACATTAATAAAAACATAGGGACTGGAATACTGGAAGGCCTCTGAAAATCTTCAGCAGCAAACAAGGTACTTTGGTTGATTTCAGGAGGTCTTCAACATTTGTTCTCAGAAAGACTGATTTCAGCTGCTGCTACTTACAATGTCTCAAGGCCTGGCCGACCTAGCCCTCCCAAGAGCTTTTTTATCCTACATGGCCTTTGAGTTCTTTAATATTACCCATGGAGAAAAGAGGCAGTTCTTTCCTATCATTTACAATCTAATTACTGAGGTTTAATAGTTAATACTTATTATCAGGTTTCACGTGTGCATATGGTATACTATAAATGCTTATGAGCACATCTGTGGAAGAAGCTGTAAGTTGCTATGTTTAGTAATAACCTATTGACTACTTTATGGATACTGTAGAATTATATAAACATTTATTAATCAGTTAATTATTGTGACTTTTAAAAGCTGCTTTAAAAATTAGTTTTTAGTATCAAATGTATCCCTTTCACTACACATTTATATACAGCATCACAATGGGATCTTTGCGCCCTGCCATCTGACAAGCAATAAATAATGCTACTAGTATAACAAACAATAAACAGGTTCCACTCGTTTCAAGGTTGAGAAACTAAATTAGGAATAATGAGTATTATGTAGTAATTCATCTTTATGCTTTGCTGTTCACTGGCTGCTTACAGCCCTTCGAGTTTTTCAGAGCTTGTCAGCAGCTGCTCAAAGACCTACAAGCCTT